ATATGTCCCTATGTTTCTCCTCCTCTCCGAAACACCGAGATACGTCCCTATGTTTCTTCTCTTTTATCGAAACACCGGGATACGTCCCTATGTTTCTTGCATGATCATAAGTTATGCTCGGCTTCGTGCATTGTCTTGCATTTTTCCCCTGCCTTCGGGCGCATACCTTGTTTGTATGAGTCTTCGGCCTTGTCAAAAATGGGTCGTCTCTGGGCTTTGACATTCACTACCGTCATTGTTATGACTTTCGAGTTCTGTCAAAGAGGGGCAACTGTAGACACCCCATTTTTCACCATCCTCAAGACTCGGACGTCATCGTTTGAACACTCGGTGATTATCCATGTTTGTGTTCGTTTGGAGTTCTCGGAGGTCTCGGCTACGTGCCTTGCCTCAGGATCTCCGAACTCGACCGTTTAGTGTCTGATTTTGCACCAAACACTTGCATTTTGCCTTGGAGGGGCAGGGAATGCCTTGTGAGGCATCCCTACACACCACCGGCCATGGCCAAAAGCCACCGGCTGGTTTTTGATTCCACCGGCAATGTATATTGCCGGTCGGCACTATTTAGTGCCGGTCGGCACTCTTTTTTGCCAAAAATGGCATCTTTGGCCGGCCGATTACTGTGCATCTGCTTTTGTAGATATTTTGTCACAGCTGTCTTGCATTTGGCTCCCCTCCATACACGTGTATGGAGGGATCTCCCTCTTGAGAAGCTTGTCTTGTAAGCTTTACAAGACAAAAGGCTCTATAAGAGAGGTCTCTGCTTTGGTTTGCAGGGTTAGACACTGAGGTATTCTAGAGAGTTTAGACAGCCATTTTAAGGGTTTTGAGTTTTAGGGTTAGAAACCATACCACTTTCTATCTCCAAATCCTCCCTCTTGTGTGTTAAAATTGGGTTTGTGTCTTACTATTGCACATAAAACACATAGTGTTTCACCTTCACTTAGCTACTGAGGTTCTAAGGGTTGGTTTTTGAAGTTTTTGAGCTGTTTTCAACCTAAAAGGAGTGTTGGAGCATCATTGTGTGAAGGGGTCTTCAAGGGTAAAGAACTAGCCCCTTTATTCCCCATTTTTGCATTATATTTTTACTGTCTTAAAATCGTTTTTGAGCTTGTGTAATAATACAAAAAAAAGTTCTGTTTTTAGCCTCTAAATTGTTTGTTTAGAGTGTTTTGTGGTTTGGAGGTGTTTGGCCCCTCCTAGGCCTCGAAAGGCCTCATTTTGTGCTATTTTGTGTTAGTTTCGGGACTTTGGTGTTTGGGATTCTTCACCACTGAAATCTTGAGGGATTTCAGAGGTGAGGATGGTGCCTTGAGGTCCCAAGAAGGAGAGGGCCACCCCCTCTCCTTATTGTCCTTGAAATGGACCATTTTTTGCCTCTTGAGGGAGCATCTAGCTAAGCTTCATGTTGACCATGCCTTGGCTGTTTTTTGTGCCTATTATATCATAATATGCCTCTGTTTATTGTTGGTTTTGGTACACCATGCATGCTTAGCATACCTACCATGTAATGCCTTGTTATTGCCTTAATATGCCTTAGGTTGTTAGCCTTTGTTCAAGCATGTTTTAGGCTTAGTCTTGTGAAGCTTTTGTGCATATTTTGCCATGTTTTAGGTCTGTCCATAGTTGTTTGGGTCGGATTTGGCATGCCTAGTATAGCTCCTTTGTATTCGAGCTTGTATGCTTTAAGTGTGTGAATGTATAGCATGACATTTTTGCATTGATTTGGTGATTTGGAATCATCCACCATGTCATTTCAGTCCCATTTGCATGCCTATATGTTTGTCTTGGACGCATTTTTAATGCTTTGAAAGCTTGTGTAGCATGCTCCATGTTTTGGCATTTGTGCACGCCTTTGCGTTTGAGCCACTTAGATGCCATCTAAGAATCCCCCTTGCATGGTCTAGGTCTGTCTTGAACATATTTTAAGTCCTGTTAGCCTTGTGAGGCTTGGTTGACTTAGCCATGGTTCAAGTCCCTTTGACTTGCTTCAAGTACTTGGGCCATCCATTGCATGCTTGGTTTATTTGATTTGCTTGGTTTGACACCATCTTAGCATGATTTTCAGAGCTTATGTTGCATGCTAATTGTCCATGATATCCCTTTTCAAGTGTGCTTGAGAGTTGCCTCATTTGTGCCCAAGTGTTGATCCTTTAACATGTGCATGTGTGTATGTGTATTTGGTCCTTTATATTGGTCACTTTGGCCACTGTTTTAGGCCTATTTAGAGTTGCCTAAATCATGTATAAGTCCATCTTTTCATAATTTTGCATTGCCTCATGTTTGCTTGTATGCTTGCATAAGTGTCTTGCCATGCCATGTTGCATCCCTAGCTTGTATGCCTAGGTTGCATTGCATCTTGCATGCATGTCTTGTTCCTTGACTTCGTGATAGGAATTGGGCCTTGGCTTGTTTGATTGGTTTGCATTGCATTTGACATGAAAGTTGCACACTTGATTCCTTGGGCCATCATGCATGGAAATGCGTGATTGATGGCCCGAGAATCGAGACACATGCCCTTTTGAGTCATTGCCATGACAAGGGACATGGTTGGTGCATATATGCTTGAATTGTATTGCCATGCAAGTTCTGTCCTCTGCTGCTGTGAGTTGCAGGTTCTGCAGGCATTCCTTGCCGACCGGCAGTATACATTGCAGACCGGCAGTGAATTAGCAGCCGATGGATTCATTTTGTGCCGGTGACCACATGACACTGCCGGTTGGCATTCTATTCAGCCGGTGGCACTCCTCAATGTCCAGAGAAGCAATACTGAGGTTTTGGCAGCCTCCAGAGGAGTAAGAGAGGAAAATAGAGGCAGACTATGCATGGCCGTGCATTTCCGGACGAGACTCGAACATGTGTTGCATCTGGCTCTCCTCCCGAGGCGGTTTACTGCTTTCATTAGATTAGTTAATTTGTTAATTAATTAATTAATTTGTAATATTTAATTAGCTTGCGTAGTTAATTATTTGTAATATTTATTTGGCCCCTCCGAGCGAGGGCAAATCTGTAATAAGTGTGGGTGAGTGTGTGAATGTCTTCCAACCCCCACTTCTTTCTTTCCTTTTATTTACCTGCTTATGATGGTAGATTAGGGCACGTTTAAATTAGCATACCTCATGCTATGCATGCGTGCATCCATACATTTGTCTTGCATGCACCGGGCTCGGTACATCATGCTAACTGCACTTGTATTTCAATTCCAAATTGAATACATGCATCAATTAATTGCATTTCATATGCCATGTCTAGGTTAGCCGAGCCTACTCTAAATGCATCCTGTATGTGTTGCATTAGACATTTAAAACATGGACTTGGATCATGCATTGATTACTAATGAGTTCTCTGTTTCGGCACGGAGTACGATGTAAGTATTTTTTATGTTTTAGTACGTCGCATGCGTGTGAATGATATCATGATAGCATGCTTACCATGTGGCTAGACGCTTATGTGATAAACTGCTTGAATGCCTGTGGGTGAAGGTTGGATTGCTTGAGTTGGGAAAACTCGTTGAAATCCGTATTTTAGCCTACTTGCGAGTAGCAAATTCCAAAACATTTTCCCAAAGCAAACGGATATGCAATGTTTTATGTCCAAATTAGGCAATCTAGTCTATACTTGTGTGCTGTGCGCATAACATAGTAATTCTAGGCTAATAAATGGAATAAGAACATGTAATGCTTTCAAAATTAGATATCACGGTTAGTAGAGGCCGATCTTCGGATCGGGCGAGAGGGGGTGCTCATAGCTGACCTTCCCCAATCGTACCCTAGCTCCCTAGCCGAGACAACTTCGGTGATGACGGACATGTGGCCTTCGGCACCGAGTCAGGGTTTCCTAAATTCCCCCATTTTAAAATATTTAGGTGGTGACTCTATATCTGGCAAAGCAGTCCATGTTTGGCACTTCTTTCAAAAATCTGTTTTCTCAAAACGATCTGCCAGATTTGGACTCTTTGGTTCAGATTAAGAACCGTGACACAAATTGAGTCCGAACTGTAGCATGAGGCACGCGGGCGCGTCTACAAGTGCCAGGCAACTTAAATGGAGAGGCTGGGACATCAGATCCTTGGTGTTCAATAATTATATTAGATAAATGAGGATGACTAGAGCTAACAGTTGTATTTGGAGAAGTTTTCCATTTATGTTTTGTGATTGTATTTACCTTTTTGTAATAGTTTTCTAAATATTCAAAGAAAGGGATTTCTAGACTATATTCAATCATAAAATCATACTATTTTCGAGTTATTCTGGATTATTGATTGGAATCATATTTAGAACGATAAGCCTGACGTTTAGTCCTATTTTCTTTGGATTTAAATTCAATATGTAATTTATCAAGATCAGGAGTAAAGGATTTACTAATTCTCATTAATTAAGGATTTATTGGAGGTATAACTTCGAAATCAGTTTGAGTAGGGGAATCCTGAGACTCATTGTCATCTTCAGGTAGATGTGTGTGAGTTGAATGAACAAGTTTACTAATTTGAGAAGTTGTGGAGTTATCAATACCTTTGAGTTTACTATGGGAAAGTTGACCAAGATTAATTTGACTATTTTTCCGAAATAAAGGAGTATTAAATATTTCATCTTCAATTTCAGTATTACTAGCTATACTTGAAGTACTATGTCTAGAAGATTGACTACGATTAAATTTAATATGAACATAACCATCATTAAATTGTTGAATATCTTGGATATCTTGACTAGTAGATTGTGTTTGATTATGTTTGTAATTTTCATTAACTGTAACCCATTGATTAGGGAGAGAAATATTTTTCCATTCAATCATTTGAGGAATATTGATATTCGTATCATTACTACTACTTTGGATTAATAGAGTTTTATCTTTGGGACTTTTAGCTAAACATCTGTTGCTTCAAAAATGATTGTAAGTTACAATATACCAAAAATGGCAACAAATAACTTACAATATACCAAATTTCAGTATTAAATTATGGTTGGCATTCTATTCAGCCGGTGGCACTCCTCAATGTCCAGAACAACTATTTGAAGAAATCAAGCAACCAATCCCACAAAGGATGGACAACATGGATACCAACAGCTTGAAAGGGACAATTAATGCTTTCCTGCAACAAAAGAGGTATGTGCTTGTTTTCGATGATGTATGGGATATTTATGCGTGGCAATCTTTTAGATATGTGTTTCCCATTGGCAATTGTGGGAGTCGCGTAGTGCTGACAACCAGAAATGCAGATTTAGCTTCTTTTGCTAGTACACAATATCATGGGGATGTCTATAATCTTCAGCCCTTGACTCCCGAAGAGTCCTGGACACTGTTTTGCAGGAAAACATTTATGGAGAATTCTTGCCCTTCACACTTGGAAAGACTTTCAAAAGCCATCTTGAATAGATGTGAGGGATTGCCGCTTGCAGTTGTGGCAATTAGTGGTCTTTTATCAACAAAGGACAAGAGCAGTGTGGATGAGTGGGATAAGATCTACCGCAGCCTTGGTGCAGAACTAGAAGGAAATGACAAATTTCAAAGCATGAAAAAAATATTGTCACTCAGTTACATTGATTTACCTTACTATCTAAAGTTTTGCTTTCTATATCTAAGTGTTTTTCCAGAGGATTGTTTGATTGACCATGAGAGATTGATTCGGTTATGGGTGGCAGAAGGATTTGTAGAAATGAAAGAAGGAATGATGATAGAAGAAGTTGCTGACGGCTACCTCAATGAGCTAATCAATAGAAGCTTAATTCAAGTCGCAAAGAGGAGACGAGATAGAAGGGTCAAAATGTATCGCATCCATGACCTTTGGCGTGGAATTATTTTTTCAAAGTCGGGAGAGCAAAACATTGTGACAATAGTTGGTGAACGAAGCAGAGCGTGGCCTGAAAAGGTGCGGCGCTTATCAATCCACAATCATTTGGAAAATATACATCAAAGCAAACGTTTCACTCGACTTCGTTCTTTACTCATGTTCAGTACAATAGATTCAATGTCCAAGTTCCCCATGCTTGTATCGTCAAATGATGGTCTACAGTTGCTAACCGTGCCAGAGTTGAAAGGTGCCTTGTTGGAAATATTCCCAAATGAAGTTTCCAAACTAAATCAACTCAGGTATTTAAGTTTGAAGGGAACCAATGTAAAAGTAATTCCGAAGTCGATTGGAAAGCTCCAAAACCTGGAAACATTGGACCTTAAAGATACGTATGTCACTGAGTTGTCTGATGATATCCTGAAGCTCCAACGACTTCACCATATCTTGTTGTATCGATACCAACCAAGTCCTTATATTTCTTTTCAACGCCAATCTGGATTCAAAGCCCCAGTGGAAATAGGAACTTTGTCATCCTTGCAGAAACTTTGTTGTATTGAAACAAACCATGGGAATAATGGTGGCATTTTCCTGGCAGAGATAGGGAAGTTGACTCAACTGAGGAGGTTACACATTCAAAAGCTGAGAAGTGAAGATGGGGAGGGATTATGCTCGTCCCTTGAGAAGCTGAGTAACCTTCGCTCATTGATTGTTCGTGCAACAGAGGAAGATGAGATCATTGATCTAGATTCTCTTTCTTCACCACCTCAGCTTCTTCGAACACTCTTCCTAGAAGGAAGTTTACATAAGCTACCGCATTGGATACCTTCACTGCATAACCTGGTAAGAGTAAGTTTAGCATGGAGTAAGTTAAGGGATGATGATCCACTGAAATCCCTTGAAGGTTTGCCCAATTTGGTTGAGGTTGAACTTCTTCAGACATATGAAGGGGAAGGACTGTGTTTCAAAGCTAGTGGATTTCAAAGGCTTGTGAGATTATACCTCAATAGATTAAAAGGATTAAGATGGGTGAAGGTGGAGGTTGGTTCAATGCCTCATCTTGAAGAGATATATATCCAGAATTGTGAATTGGTAGAGGAGTTACCCTCTGGCATTGAACATCTAACCAACCTTAAATTTCTTGAATTGGTTAATATGTCTAATGAATTGATTTCAAGGTTGAACAGAGACTTAGAAGGTGGGAATTATTGGAAAATTTCACACATCCCAAAAGTTTGGATTGGAAATGCAATATGTGGTTATTGGAAAGGAAATTATCTATAGAGAGAGAGAGACGAGAGAGCTCTAACCATATTGGATCATCACCACAATTACAATGCTTATTATGTATTTATTTATTTTCATGTGCTCTTGGTACTTGATTTGTTGTATTCATATTGGGATCAAATTTTTCTCTATTCTTTTCTTTTACCTTCTCTCTCTTCCACTTTTGTTATTTTAGTAGATCGGGAGCCTTTTATTTGACCTCCTACTTTTAATCCTAGAGAGTTGGTAACTTCACAAATTTTTGAATTGGGATTGTAAATCTTAGGGTTCGTTTGGTGAGATTTTTATGCTTTTATTTATTAAATTTTTTGTTTTAGCTTTAAGAAATTTTGAAAATTAAAATAAAAAACATGTTTGGTAATTTTTTTCACTTTTTAAAAAAATGGTTACAATTTTCTGAATTTGAGGAAACAACAAAAATGTGTTTTTACTTACTTTCAAAATAAGTTTCATTCCTTCTTGCCTCCCACACCCTTTTGTCACCTAGCCACCCTTTCCGCTCTGGCGACCACTTCCAACCACTCCCCCCTTTTGGTAACTAACCAAACTTGTTTCCTTGTTTCATTTTTTTTTTTTTTTAAATGTTTTGAGAATGGTTAGGCTTCTCTTAAATTTAAATTGGAACTTGAGAGGCTTGTGGGATGCAATATGAGTCTCGTTTCTATGATCTAAATTGTTTATTTTGTAGGGTCTTAATTGTATATCATCCACGGAAAAAATTAGGTTGATTTGATAATTATATATTCCATTCATCTTATCCCATTTGTCTCTATAAAAATGAACGACAAGTGTATTTTTGAAAATAGATCATCCATTTTTTTGGATGATCTGTATGGTTTGCACAAAATGAACATTTTAGATTGATTCGTGGTAACCCCATGGGCTCCTCAAGTTGTCTCAATTTCATATTTGAACTTGAAAGAAGCCCAACTCCTCAATTATATAGGGCCAAACTCCTTGCCACATTATTATTGGTGAATTTGTATGTCTAAAATTGAACTTCTCTAATATTTCTTTGACATAGTTTGGAGACTAAAAAAAACAAGAAGCATATTCTAAGAATCAAAATATAACAAAATGCATAGTTTGGGATCAATTGTATTCGATCATTGATTTTTTAAGACTTAATGTAAAATTAAAAAATTACCCTGATTCTTGTTATTGATTTACACGACACTTTCGTCTCACAATAGCTAATATTTTCTTTTTCTTTATTATTACAATTTTCCCCTAATCACAAAACATCTAAGCCTATTTTGTGAACCCACCCTTTCACTACCATCTCCACTGGCCACCACTACTGTCACTGCCGACGCCACCATCCACTACAGTTGATGCCACCCCCTAGCTTCTCTCTATCTTACCCCACCACTCTCCTCATCATCTTCCTCGTCTTCTTATTAAGGTTTAAAAGGTGAGTGTATGTTTATTATTATGATAAGTGTAATAAATAAAATTGAATTTTTGCGAATGGTAGTGTGATTAGAAATATTTGTTGGCAAACGCAAGAATTTGTGGAAACAAGTATATATGCTATATTACATTTATTTATGTATAAATACGTGTATCTATGTTTGTTTTTAGTGATTCTGACAAAAAGGCCAGTTGATTTGAGTAGAATTGATAATAAAAAAAAAAAAAATTTGAGTAAAAGAATGGAGGGAATTTTAATAACTTTTTACTCAAATTTAAGTTAGAGTCTAGGGTTGGAGATGCCTTAAGGCCATCTCCCTTGATTTGACTTAAAAAAATTAGTAAACCTTATTTTGATATGCAATTGGAGGTGATGAAATGGAGGGATGATGTATTTTTCTTTAATACGAGCTTAAGTAGAGGAGTGAATTGGTTTATGGTTTTTTTTTTCATTTTTTATCTTTAATACTTGAATTTAAATTTGATACGATATGGGTAATGATTAAGGGCTTGAGATGGCCTAACATATCTGTGAATTCATATTTTTACATATTGGGTGTCTTATTCTCAGCTTGACATTTTAACAAACACCTCGCACGCACACAATGAGATGGAGCATTCTTGCACTTAAGAGAAGGAAGGAAAGAGGGCTTGTTTGTGTGTAACTGTTCAGAGAGAGAGAGAGAAGCCTACGGGGGAAATAGAACTATTCCAGCCAAGAAAATAACAATTACCTAATGCAGTGGCACAAGATTAAAGAATAAGAACAATTCACATCAGACTCAAAAGCAGCAAATATAAGAAGAGACCTAAACAGGCCATTATTATTCTTCTATATCTCTCTCCTAGCAAACACCCATTGCAATTATAATTCCCACATTGAAGACGAATAGCATAAACCCAGTAAGTTAACTGAATGAGATAACAATTAACTAACTCTAATTCCAATTCATCCAGAATTAGAAGGGAAAAAAACAGAGTAAATAAATAAAGATAGAGAAACTCCAATAAATAAGAACAACAAATAGTAAGAGAGAGAGAGAGAGAGAGAGAGAGAGTAGAAAACTGGGAAAGTCTATAGTACATTTTGTACAAAAAAATGTACGGTACATACAAAATCAATGGTTAAGATTGAGCCACATCATTAAAAGTGACCTGCTAAACAGGTCAC